ACGAAACAAAAACTGGAATAAAGTTCGTCCTTCATTCAGAAATCAGATACGAGGGTGAAAAGAATTCGTCTCGGCTTTGTCGTGATTCAATATGAAAAATGATTAAATCCTGCTGGTGGGATTCACAATTTATATCATTGTTTTACACAGATTTGCACTGAAGGCATCGTCATTAGCACTGCTTTTCCAAGCTACCATTTTTGGGTTCATTATAGGTCGAGGTTAAGAAAACTACTTTACACCATATTTTCGGCATAATCGAGGACCGCCCGCTATTCTGATCGTTGCCCTCGCTAATGGCCGAGGCTAGATTTGCGAAGAGTAGCTTCGCTAGAGATTACAGCACAAAAAAATATTCGTAATTTCCAGACTTGATAAATTACCTGCAATAATAGCGAACTCAACGAGACTCGGCGTATTTCCGGTTCCGTGTACTTGTCGAATTTTTCGTACTGTTGCGGCGAGTAGAAACGATAACAATTGCCAGGACCAGTACGACCGGCGCGACCTTTGCGCTGTTCAGCACTTGCCTGCGAAATCCAGCATTCTTTGAGGGTGTGCATTTTCGTGTCGGCGTCATAGCGCATCTCCTTCACCTTGCCGGAGTCGACCACGAAGCGAACACCGTCGATCGTCACCGACGTCTCGGCGATGTTCGTCGACAGGATGCATTTACGAACGCCATCCGGCGTGATGTCGAACACGCGATCTTGGTCGTCCAAAGACAACGTGCTGTGCAACATAAGGATCACCCATCGTCGGGTTTCGCTCAAGTCCGCGTACTCCTAGGTCAACATCAAACCATGTAACGCCAGACGGATATTAAAATCAAACTATTAAAATGCCTAAAACTTCATTCTGCAACAAGTGACATACGGAGGTAAAAGGCATTCTTCCAAAGAAGTTTTTAAACGGATCTAGCGACTAATTTTCGATTAAAAGGTACATCTCATAGTCAACTTAAGTTTTTCTGACTTCATTTAAATAGCATAGTTTGCATTCAGGGAGTGAGCAACACTGCCGAACTTAGAGCAGGATCGCAATGATTTCGCATCCTAGGGTGGGAAACCAGCAGTTGGTATGCTCAAACCTTGTAGGCTGTTCTCCTGTCTTTTCAGATGACGAGTTGTGGACGAGGTTGTCACTGTTATTGGTGCTCGTTCTGAATGTCTGTGGCATAAGGGAAAGGAAACACGAGTACGGTGATGCCTACGGTAACGAGGACTGAATAAGAGTTTAAACAATAACGCTTTAATATTGCAAAAATATTGAGATGATTAGTGCCAAGGTCGACAGCATGGTGCTTCCTAAGATTCGTTTGCCTGAATTAACACGGTACAGTGTAGAGATCAGACTCAATTATGATGCATGGTAGAACTTTGGCCGCTCAAAGCTCGTTAGTATACATCATATCCTTCACCACACCCTCGAAGCCGGTGGAAAAGTTCTGAAAACCTGAGTGACGTAGAGTCAGTTTCAGTCCTTAACGTACGACAGTTTATCGATGACAATCGTATGACCGTTTGTCTGTGAATCCATATTACTGAGAAGTACCTAAATTTACTTATACGAACCTTCAACGCCTCGGCAACGGTTGTGATTTCTGTGATCCCGCTTAGAAAGATGAGCACATCGCCTCGTTCGCTGGCTGGGTACTTCTGATCGATCATGCTCAGAATGCCGCGGTACGGCGACGGGTCGATGCGCTCGGATTTGGACTCCTTGGCCGGCAACGGCATGTAGACCAGTTTGATGGGATACAGCCGACCGGGAACCTGCAAAATCGGCGCTCGTTCAAAATAGCCGCTGAATAACTCGAGGTTGATCGTCGCCGACATCAGCACCAGCTTTAGCTCGCGCCGCTTCAACACCAGGTCCCGAAGAACGCCCAACAAGAAATCGCCCTGCAAATGACGCTCATGTATTTCGTCCATAATCACCACATCGTACGCTGAAAGATCCGGATCGATACTGAGCTGTCTAAAAGGAGTCTGAGATGAAAGAATGACCGATGAATGTGCCATGACATATCGCAGATGTACGAGACGATCCAGTGGATGGAAATTCAATTAGAAAGGAAAATCAATCACTCATCGAACATCCATATGAAGGAGGGTAAAAATCGAAACGAAGGCTAAGAGCAAAATTGTCAAATTCACAGATTCGGTTGAAATCTGGCCCTACGGCAGTTATGCGTTACGTTGCGGTATAAAGACAACTTTGGCCTCGACGCATAATGAGGATTAAATAGCAAGATCACGTAAGGAATGAGTCTCTTTTTTACTTTGCATAAGTGACCCAGGTAGATATGAAGATTTAGAAAATGAAGTTAACCCTATTAGACAAACTGGATGAGCATACACCATTTACTCGAACTCATGAGCACCTAGTGTCGGTGCTGAAACGCGGCAGGCATTGACCAGGAGGTCAGCATGCAACATGAAGGAACAGCGTAGAGACAGATCTGCTTTTGGAGAGGAATGTATCTTTGTGCGACACAGCAACCAGTGTCTTATAGCAAAAGCGCTGAAAAGCTGCGAATACAACGGACATCACAATACAACGGACACCAGACACGTTATGATAATGGAATAGTTAATGGTGATGATCGCAATCAATAGATACCCAGACCCATATTTACGCAAGTTATCCTAAAAGGGCTATGGGAAATATTTCGAGTAAAACAAAAAATTTTACATAACTTGTCTATGTAACTTCCTGTCTCGCTCAGTTTACTACCAACCACGGACATCCTGTATATATGTATTTATACACTTTAATAATTTTTAATGTTGGTGTTCGCAGTGGTAGAGTACAATCATGATTGATAAAAGAATTTGAAGTGGAAAAAACGAACCCATTCTTAAAAGCGCTATAATAAAA